CCCAAAAAATAAAGTGGGAGAAAATGCATTCATTTTACCCCATCCCAAAGATAACTGGAATAAAACTTTTTATTTTCTACGTCTAGCATTTTTGTTCTGCTAACTTCTGTAAATTTTTAAAAAATATTTAATGGGTGCATAATTTGTTGAACTGAGGTCTGTGGACTTGTGAGTTAGAGTCAGCACTTGTAAACAGCTTTGAGGTTGGTCAGGAGTCTTCACAAAACCTGACATGTCTAGTTCTTATTAACTTTGGCACAAGGAAGAATTCTGTTTAGCTTGTAAATGATGAGAACATTGCTCTCCCTCTATCTGCCTTGATCATGGGACACACCCTCTTCCCCCCATATGGTGTCTGGTTTGAGCTGTACAGCTTTCAGTGAGGAACCTGTTAAGAGTGACTTGCAGCATGTCCCTCTTGTTTCCAAATTCACCCATGCTACCCTGGATAACACAGCCTCTTGCCATTGGAGCACATGTTACCTGGGCAGGTTCTGTTCTGGGGCAGTACATCTCAAACTATCAGAAAAAGAATTGAGTCCCCTCCTAGTTGGTGAGCAGAGAAGCAGGATGTCAGTGTGAGCAAGCTAGTGGTGGGTGATGGATAGTACTAGTCACCAGGTACTAGTCCAAGAAACACCCTTAGGCCCCTAGAGGTGGCCACACAAAATACAGACCCATTTGAGGGTTAACTGTAGGGGTGCTGCAGTGGGCCTGTGGATCTCCAAGGGGAGAACGTTGTACCAAAGGAATTCAGAGAAGACCTCCCGAAGTAGAGCCTGGGGTGAGATGAACCACTTGTGCTGGCTCTCCCCTTCCTCTAGTGTTCCTGTGGCTCTCTTGTGTCAACCCACACAAGAATAGGAAACTATCTTGTAAGCTTCTCCCTTAAAAGTACTACTAAGTGTTAATTTTATAGATACTGTTTGTTTTTTTATTTCATAGATAAGAGAGACTAGTTGGCCTTGGGCATAAGAATCTTGAATTCCACATAGAACTGCAGGAAGGCTTCCTTCACCAAGTTCTTAGGTTCCTCCTCTTGGGACATCCATATTTTAGGTTATGCATGTATCATCTGCTGTTCTCTTTACAGAAATCTGACCCAGATGTGATCCTCTGCAACTGTGTCGAGTTGATCCGTGAGGGGTTGAATGTATCTCAATATGGACCAAGTTCTGGGCATCAGAAGGAACAAAAGGACGACTTTGTGTATGACATTTACTATTTGGAAAGGGCGACTCCAGGATGGATTGAGAACATCCTCTCTGTGCAGCCCTACAGCCACGAGTGGGAGTTGGTAAGGGGCCCCATGAGGCAGCCTAAGCTTATTACCCAGTCACATGCTTTGCCTCCCTAGGTTCTTTTCCTGATCATTGTTCTTACCCTTGCTTAAAAGGAAAAGTTTATGATAAATGCCTGAGGTTACTATAGCCACTAGCAGACTGCTGCATTTTCTCTTTTTCACACATCACCCTTAAATGATGTCTCTGCAAGTTGGTCTGCTAATAGCTTCCCTCAGAGCATACCTTTAGAGGTTTTAACTTACACTCATGTTTGTGTTGAGATGTGCAGGTGAATGATGACCACCAACCAGAGGACACTTATGATGATGATGATGATGAAAACAGTGAGAATAATTGGCGCAATGAGTACCCAGAGGAGGAGAACAGTGACGAAGATGAAGATTCCAGAGGTAGGTAATAGCAGCCCTGGTTGGGGAGGGATTGATGGGATCTGGGACTGAGGTGTGAGCAAGATTGACAGGTTTATCTTAGCTGGTTTTCCTTTTCTGCCATTTGAGCTCCACTAGTTCAACCATGAGCTGTAGGAGATGCAAGGACCGGTATTTCCATGGGGGCTGCTAGAGGTATGTCAGTCAGGCCTGGGTTCAAATCCTTAGTTCTGTCATTGCCTACCAACAGTCCTTTTCCCTTCTACTCTGAATAAAGTGCTGGAGAGGGTCATCAGTAGGAGTAGTCCTAGGGTTTTCTTAGGTACTTGTAAATTGTTGCATTTACAAGTATAACAACACAGACTTGGTACCTCGGGGAAGAGAAAGGAAGAATGCTCTGGCACCACAGTTCCTTGAATTGCTTAGTGTTTGGTAACGGAGGAACAATTCAACTATGGAATATTCTACTGGGGAAGTGGCAAGGAACAAAATTAGATTTGCAATACGACTACAACTGTTATAATTTTTTAAAAAGTCCCATACTTAGGGGAGAAATGATGAAATACTCCAATGTTAAAGGGCTTGGTTTACATGGTAAGAATTTTATTGCTTTTTTTTAAATTGTTCTATATTCTAGCAAGTATTTTATAATACAAAACAAACTTTTTTGAGAAAGGAAGGGACTTTTGTGGTCATTTAGAAAACCATACAATTAGAGCCCATTCCTATTATCTTACTCTAGGCTCTGACAATTACAGCAGCATCAGTGAAGAAGAAAGAGACAACAGCAGACCACCAATGTGGAGCAAATACCCCTTGGATGTACAGAAGGAGTTTGGCTATGACAGTCCCCATGACCTCGATTCAGACTGATGATCTGTAATAACCATGAGGTTCTACTACAAGCCCCTGGGGGATCTGTGACTGCAGGGTCTGCCACAGTAGTTAGCATCCTCCTAGCCTAACATGGGGAAAGAAAAAGCATATCCACCAGCACCATTCCACCACAGGTAAAACATGCACTAAGGGAATGTCTTTTCTACTCTCTGTAGGGCCCGTTTATCTTGATCAAAATCAACCCTACAGTCCACAGGGGGGAAATGCTATAAAAGCGAAGCTTCCTGGCCCAGGCGTTTTCCCAGCATTCCCATTCTCTTCCTACACTGAAACCAGTTAAGTGGAAGAGAGTCTCATTTTATCAGCACTAAGACCGGGCTTTTCCAGGTTACCTGCCTCTAGTAAAAGCCAGTTTCTCTTGATAGAGGGATTCTAGAAAGGCTGCAGTGAGTCCCTTGTAGTGGCACAGACTGGACTCTGATAACATTTGTAAAGATTGCTTGCTTCCTCCGGCAGTGGTGCCAAGGAACAGGGTATGTATAAATGTATTTAATAAAAACTTTGAACATTGGGAGCAAGTAAAATCTGTCTTACATGTTTTCCCACCATATTCCCTGGCTCCCCCAACACCTGCCAAAAGGGAGTGAGAAGTTTCAAACACTGAGGACTTAAAGCAAGTGAGAAAAAGCAAAGCACATCCTAAACTTGGCTTTCCACTGAGAAATGTTTTAACTAGTCACAGCAGTCACCAAAAACAAACTGCCGTCAACAGGACCAATATTGTTACCAAAACTGGTATCTCTTGTAAGCAAACTCTGTCCCTACTCCTTTCCAAACCACAAATGCCTTAACTCTGACTAAGATGGCATTTATTCTGTAATGACGAATATGTTCTCTATCTGCACTGTGCAGGAGTAGCCATTAGCCACATATGGCTATTGAGCATGTGAAATGTGATTATTGCAGTGGAGGAACTAAATACTTTTTTTTTTCCATTTATTTATATTAGTTGGAGGCTAATTACAATATTGTAGTGAATACTTTAACTAGCTCTTTATGGCTAATAGCTACCATGTTGCACAGGTCTAGGGAAACAATACACAGAACCTTTGATTCAAGGTGTGCCCTCTTGCCCTGGGGCACAGACTTACTCTCACATGGGAAGATAAACAAGAAAATGTCTTCGTGCCCATTCTAAGATTTCATAAGCATTTCTACTTTTCTATCCTACCTCCATCCATTTCACTTTTTTTTTTTTTACAACTTTGTCTATACTCTTATCTACATGAAGTTGTTAAACCTCCTAAAGTGACTCACTTCTGTCCTACTTTTGCAGTTATAAAACCAGCCGACAGACTTGGTTTCCTATCCTAAGTATCCACTAAGGCGCAGTTCAGTGCTGCAAGTAACAGGCAACAACTTCCAAGTTTAATACCAGTCAGCTCAGTCTTCTGCAGGCATAGAAGCAAAGGACTGAAAACCACTCTGCTATTATAACATGCTCACTGCTCTCATGTACTCACTAAAGTTTGCCAATATTAAAGGGCTGACAGCTTCACAAACTGTACTCACTGCAGAAAGGATTAGCACACCACGAGAAGGACTGAAGGAGATAAACAACAAAGACCTCGAAGAAATTAATTATACTACAAAGCTGTAGTGCTGTAGGGAGTCTCTGGCTTCCCTCCCTCAGAAACATTCCTGGGAGAAGTCTGTATCCAACACAGAGGGGAAGAACATGGTCACCATCCAGTAATGAGGGGGTGACCTGGCTCACTAAGCAAGTATGAGGGAGCCTAGAGCGTGAGGCCCTTGCTTCCCTAGCAGCCACTGGGAGACAGGTTCCTGAGATAAGCTGGTCATTTACTTCAGTGAAGAAAATTAAAAGTGTAGGTGGGGGATCCTTCAAGACAAGCATACTTGACTTGAAGGATTAGCTCCAGAGGATCCCTGGGATAGGTGCCAGCTTGGGTCAGACAGGAGTCATGTTTACATAGTCCGGGCAAGTCAGCCTTTGCAAAAGACTCCCTGTTGTCAGGCAAATCCACAACCCATGACAGGAGGAATGTACTCCTGTATTCTCACAGAGGCATAACCTGAACCAAAGGCAGCTGTGAGCATGCTCCCCTAAATTGCCTTAATTGAACAAGTATGACCAAGGTCACTCCCTTGTCTGTAGCTAGGGCCAGTATGGTGGAGAAGAATGCTCAGAAAGGTAGATTGCCTCATAGTTCCTGTCTTTATCATTGCTTGATTTCAAAACCTAAGGACAAGAACCCCATGGGGGCATACCAAGCCAGCAGGTTCTTCTGGGTCCAGGATGAGTTTCTGGAAGCAACACTGGACGGCTGTCCAATCCACTGCAGCCTGGTGGCCCATGAAGGAACATCCATTAGGTCAGATGTACCACTTTGGCCACACCTGGGTGCTAAAGCGCAGCCTGAGCACCAGAATTAATTGCTTCTTATTGTGAGTCTGCTGAAGAGCCAGGTGGAGGTGGAAGCAGCTTTATTGCAGAGTCGTCACTGATGTCCACAGGGAGAAAACAAGTTCCCACAAGTACCAAGCTCTTCCTGAGACTGCAGCCCCCAAACCTCAGGCAAGGGGAGGCAGACAGAAGAGCAGTGCACTGTCCCGATGACCCACACCATGGTGGCTCAGAGTGTAAACAAAGTCTGGTGTTGGGGACGAGGAGGAGAATACAGCCTGATGTGAGGTTTCCAGGAAAATGACCACTTCTAGCACCACAGTGGGCTTGCATGGGTCTGCACAGCAGCCCCTCATAGCAGCCCTTACAGAGAGGAACAACTTACTTGTCAGCTTGGGTCCCGGAAATGGCCTCTAAGCCATTGACAGCTGAAAGAATTCAAGTGATTCACCTGAATCCTAGGACAGTTTGTGCCTTCTTAGACTTCATACCAGAAACCAGAGGTTTGCATTTTGCCAACTAGAGCAAAGAAGTAAGGTCTCAAGTAAAATAAAGGATTAGCCTTCAAAGTAGCAGTTTTACCAGGCTTCTGACTCTGGCATTTGTTCATCTGTCCTTGCTGGACTTGAGCCAGGTGACTGGTAACATGTGACCTATGTACATACTGAAGTGTAACCAGTACATGAGTAAAGAATAATCTTTACAGTTCACCTCTGCAGGTAAGACTCAACAGAAGACTGTGCTAAAACTAAGCAAAAAAATCTGCAGTCAGAGTCTGACCAACCACCACATAGATACCTCTAAGGTCAGAGGGACTCACTTTGGGGTACTTTCAATTTTTAAATACAATCAGCCTATTACAACCTGTAAATTAACGAAGACCAATGCTTTGCTGGAACTGGTGTTCTGGATTAAATAATATCAATAAATAATGGAAGACAACCCTCTCCCCAAGGAAGGATTCTGAGCCAGAGGAAGAAATGGTAGCATTTCAGACCTCTAAAGTCAGGTGCTTGGACCTGGTCAGAGGAAAACTTCTCATAGAGCAGCCCCTTCAGAGAAACTCCTGGTTCAAATGTCAAATTCAGAAACCAATAGCCCCAGCTGTTAACCTAGCACTCCCTCTTCCCCCAGTGCAACTCACCAAGTAAGTGGAAGGGCTGCACCTACTCGCCAGAACAAAACTGAACCACCATTCCCCTACTGCTCAAGTCCTCTCCCACCACCACCCTCTGAAGTCCCCACCTTCAGGCTGGCCCCAGACCCTGAGATTCCTACCATAGCTTACCAATGACAGTGAACACTTGAGCAGGCCATCAGCCCTGAGCCCCCTTACATAATGTGGGCCAACAGCCCTTCTTTAGCACAAGAAGGTTGGGTCCACACAGTCTTGTAATCTGGACTTTGGTGGCCGCGGCCACAGGTAGCAGCCCTGCAGGCCTTGGGGATATCACCTCTGGCCTCTACTCAGTTTTCCTCTCGACCTGTCTCTCTTCAGCTACATCTAGCTCAGTCAGGACGCAAAAGCAAAGCTTCTGGGTGACTTTGGTGATAGCAGCTAAATGAAAACAGAGAAGAGAATTTAGCAAACTGATACTCAAGTGACAGAATGACAGCCCCCATCTAAACAACACAAGGCTGACTGAAGTACATGGCTCCTCCCACCTGCCCCCTGGGCACCCTGTGCCAGGCTCACCCCCAGCAAACCTCACTGTTCTCTACTCCACACCCAACCAGAGGGTCTGATGCATGACTCCTTGTCTTGCTATGTGGACTGCACTTTCAGGGAGGGGGTGTTTAACCCCAAAATAGGACTCTAAAGTTAGAATTAAAGTGATCAGGTCAAGATCAAAAGGGGCAGCCAGGTCTCCAGCATATCACTAGTAAGGGGAAGCCATTAGCCATCACACCCACCTGTGCACACATCTTTGTGTACACACACACACACACACACACCTGTGCACACATCTTTGTGTACACACACACACACACACACACACACACACACCTGTGCACACATCTTTGTGTACACACACACACACACACACACACACAGAGCCAGTGTGTAATAGGCAAAGAGAAGCTCACCAAGGACATTCCGAATAAAGAGTGGCCTCCGAGACTCTGGCAGATAAACACCCAGGAAGTAGACGGGGACCCCAGAGAGGGTGATTCCAATGCCAATGAGGGAATTGATGGTGTCACTGAAGAGGGGCACAATCACCAGAAACAAGGAGCATATGCAGAACACGATGGGAAAAAACAGGCTCAGCTGAAATGAAGAGAGGTGAGATGTTAGGTAAAGTGTGATGAGGGAATGGGAAAATGGGGAATGGGACAGGGGGAAGACCTTGGAGAGATGGCCCACCCCTCCTGGTCTGCCCAGAGTCACTGACCTTGAGAGGTCGTGGCCGATCAGGCTCCTTCCAGCGAAGGTAGAGCTGTCCAGCGACAGAGAGGCCCACAAAGAACCAGTAGCTGAAGCTGAAGTAGTTGATGAGCAGGAAAACATCCTCCACAGTGAGGTAGATAAGTGTCATGGTGCACTGGAGGGGGAAGAGTAGGGGGAAGAGGAGTGGGCACTGTTATCACCCAGCCACCCAGAGACCATCACTCAACAGTCAGCACCAGATCGGCTGAGAACTGACTCAGCTTCACCAATGACCTCCAGCTCTTTTCAGTGACCCCCTTGGCATCAGATAAGTCCATTCTCCAGACTGGCCTTCCCGCCTTCCTCTGTTGGCGGCTCTTCCTGCATTCAATGCCTCCCTTCTTTTCACATGCACTTCAGTAACAAACTAGACTCCTTTCCCCTTCTGATGGCAGACAGTGAGGCCCTCCTCACTGTAATGCACGAGCCTCAACGTGAATCACCCAGTGCCCTCTGAGACTGTCATACACGGGTCCCAACTACCTGGCTGAAAGAGGAGGAAGTGTCTCCAGAACCATCTTACTACCCTGGAGCCTTAAAAATGCAGATTAGCAAAACAGACCCATACCCCTGGGAAGAAGAAGTATAAAGGATTTGCCCTCTGGAACAAAAGAGTTCTGGAAGACAGGAGTAAGGGACTACAGAGTCTGAGGAGAAGGTTAGGTTTGCTTTAACTTCAAGGATATGGAGTTCCCTCTATCCATCTTTTCACCAGATTATCAACAAAAAAGATTGAAAACAAAAAGAGCCCGTTCTAGAGAAAGAAGGAGACCCAATACTGAGAGGAGAAAAGTAGGGTGCAAGGTGATTAATTTAAAAGCTATGATGTCAGATTGCCCTAAATTTATAAACTTAGTGCTATCCCAATCAATATATTGAGGATATTTTTTTATTTTGATAAAATGATACCACAGTTTATCAAGACAAATAAACAAATAGGTGAGAAATGCCATGAAAATTTCAGGGGGAGAGGGGAACTGAAGAAGGACCCTCAGCCCCACTTTAGTTCTCAAATATTCAGTGTAAAGCTAAATAAGGAAGTTTGGTGCTGATGGAAGGAAGAATTGAGATGATTATACATTTAAGGGGCAAATCGCTGTGCATGGCACATTAAGCATGCTAAAAGATCATCTATTTTTATATGATAAAAATGTGAACAATGCGGGGACTTCCCTAGCAGCCCAGAGGTTAGGATGCTGCACTGTCACTGCAGGGGGCACAGGTTTGCTTCCTGGTCCAGGAACTAAGATCTCGTATGCTACAAGACACAGCAAAAAAAAATCCTAAAAAAAATTTTTTTTTAATTTGTCTGAAAAATGTAAAAAAATGGACTATTCAATAAGTGATATTGGTATAGTTGGCTAGCCATGTGAGAAAAAAATTAAGTAAATCTCTTCCTCATTCCATTCATCAAATATAAACTCCAGATGAATACAAAAAAAGTAATAAAACCATTAAAAAAAAGAAACTAAATGATAAAAACAATGAACTATATTTCAAATCTTGCTACCCTTTGCATCTAATAATACCTTAGTGCAAATTATAAAATGACAGTTCTTCTTCAGGACTCCTTCCATCTGTCAGAATACTTCATCATTTACTAATTTTGTTGAAAGAAAACACTTTAAAGCCATCTACTATATAGAAATCTATCATGCCTATGATATGAACAGAGGCTCCTAGGGTAGCTGGTGTACACTGGCCTGGATTTCTAAGTATAATTTAAAAAATAAAAATGAGGAGCTAGAAGGAGCAGGAGGAGGAAAAAGAAGCCACTGACAGAAGAGAGAGACAAATCTGACTGATTCACTTTTATATTCTTTTGTAGCATTTGCCTTCTCTATGTTTTACTTTTACATTTTTAAAAATTGTGGGGAAAAGAAACACTGAGAGGCTCAGGAAGTACCCCAAGAAGCTAGTATACCTCCCCCCAACCAGTCCTCTCAGACTCAGCAGGAGTACCACACAGGTATGCCCAATGCCCACACTCCCCAGCACAGCTTACGTTAAACAGTAAAGCAGGGATAGGTGTGAAACGCTCAACGTGGATCATGGACAGGAGGTCCGGGAGGTGGCCCTCACGGGAGCCCACAAAAAACAACCTGGAAGGACAAGAAATATGTCAGGAGGATTCTTATACTCAGCCATGCAGCCACACTCCTCCCTCAAACTAGGCTCAGCCAGACCCAGAAGCCAGCAGTGGGCAGTCTCTCAGGATCCTCCCATGTTCTCTATGCATGACCAAGCCAACCTTCACCTCCTTCATCCATGGATATCCCCACCGTAAGCCATGACCCACTCTTACCCACTGACACTCCCATGCCTCTGCTATGCAACTCACCATCACCCAACTGATACCTCACCCTGCCATCACCCACTGGCACCCCAATCCACTCCCCTGGGGTACCCTACTCTGGCACCCCACAGACTTCCCACTTAACGGCTTTTTAAAGAAGGGCAGCCAGGCTTCTGATTGTCTGACCTCTATTCATCTTCCCTGAGCTCCTGATATGTACATAAAAGGTCAGGGAGAGCCTGGGGCTCAAAGAAACAACTCAAGCTTCCTCTCTGCATTTAAAGAGCTCCTTTGACTGGAAACAGAGCAGCAAAGTGAGAGCATCCAGGTAGTCAGCAGCATCATGGTGCACACAGCACCTGGCGTGGGGTGGGCTGGGGAGCAAAAAACTCCCCAAGAGATGACCACATCTGTGCTGGGAAGAAGAGCTGGGGTTTTCCAGAAGATAAGTGTTGGGTGGGGACACAACACAGGCACAGGCAAAAGAGGTTTAGAGGCAATGAGAGGGTGGAGCCTCTTTGAAGGTTGACACTAGAATGCCCGTAGGTCCAGGATAAGGTATATGAGGAGTGTGCAGGGAAGAACTTGCTTATGAGGCCGCGCTGTGGACACTGAACTAACACCAAGAGCCAGCAGTGGCTCTAAAGTAAGGGCTTGACCGGATTTGACACAGAGACTCTGGTGGCATCACTGAGGCCAACCAAAGCAGACAGAGGCCAGGGTGTGGGGGAGGCCAGACAAGAAGGTCATCTGGGGCAACAGTCCCACAAGAGAGGGGGCCTGAATGAAGGTGGACACCTGGCAGAGGACAAATCTGGTGGTCTTCTGTGCCTGCATGTGTATTTGAGGCTGGGAAATGAGGGTGGACACCAAGGGAAAAATCAAGAGGCCAAGAGGCTGGGAATTCCCTGTGGTCCAGTGGTTAAGACTTTGGGCTTTCCCTGCTGAGGGCCCAGGTTCAATCTCCGGGTGGGAAACTAAGATCCTACAAACTGTGTGGCACGCTCCCTCTACTGAAAAGACAAAAAAGAGGCCAAGTAAGGAGGACTTGAACAGGTAGAGCACATGTTAAGTCTGAGATACTTATGGGCCATCCAGGTGGAGCCACAGGAGCTGCTGGTATCATCTGGAAGGGTGTCAGAGGTTCACAAGGCTAGTATCTGTACTGAAGCGGAGAAGCAGTACAACAGGTGGAACGTGGGAGAGGACGTGTAAGTGAGGCAAAGGCATCGAGTACAAAGCCTAAGACAGCAGAATGGGTAATAAAGAGAGTGAAGAAGGTAACACGGGGTGGAAACAGTTGTGCATTATCTTGACACGGCTGCAGTCCACTTTATGTGCAGGTCCACGTTCTTACTCTGAGTCCCCTACCTTCATCCTGCCAATGCCACAAGATAGCTCAGAATGTACCTACTACCTAAGTGTTTGGGGGCAACTGGCAGAGCCAGAACCTGGGAATCCTGGGATCAGGTAGCAGAATCAGCCTGGAAAGGCAGAATCAGTCCTCTCTCTGAAACAACAGTGCTCTAACAGGTAAGTCTCTGTGTGGGAAAGAGAGCTGGAGCCTATGTGTTGGCCTCAGTGTTTTCTATGACGTGAGGGGCAGAGTCGTCCTGTACCAGTCCAGGTACACAGCAAGTGCTCAATAATTATTCATCACAAGAATGAATCCTAATAAATGAAAAAAGAAAAAAAAAAGAATGAATCCTGTGCTAGGCCTGCAGCACAATCCACAGGAACAAAGAGTCTGGTCCCCAACAGGATGGCTACTGTCTAAGCTACTGCCTTCCTCCCTTGACCTCTTACCAATCTGTCCTCACCTCAAGTGAAAATGTGAGCTCCCAGCATACAAATGTTTGCACAAAGGCAAATACACATGTGCACACCCGCATACACAACACAGAGCACTAACCACTACACGATCGCATATACACTCTGCAAGTCCAAGAGACAGAGAAGGGAAAGTGGCTCCGATGGACCCACCTAGACCCTCAGAGAACTAAATACTGTGGTGTGTTATGGGCAAAGCAGAGACACAGTACCTTGATGAAGCGAAGATAGACGCATTGAGGCCCCCAAAACAGGACAGGGCGACAGCAATGGGAATGGTCCAGCTAAACATGCCAAATGTCTGGTCAGCAAATGTCTGGGGACAGAGCACAGAAGGGCACTCAGCACAGGACAGTGTCCACAGCTTCCTCAAGCTCTCATGACAAATGCCATCACTGCTGCAAACCTCACCCTCAGGCCCAGACCCACCACCTGGAATGGCTGCAGAAACAGAAGATTCAGCCATTCAGTATCAGAAGATGACAAGCAGATGGGATCCCAAGAGACTCACCACAGCCACAGCATCACTGGCAAGGACATCAGAAATGCTCAGCACTGTGTAATAGGCCACGTTGGTCAGGATGTAGATGAGTGTCACAATTGGCATGGAAATCCCAATGGCCAGGGGCAAATTTCTGTCAGAACAAATGAGACAGGACTACCTGGAACCAACCTCTCCTTGAGGGTCAGAGCTACCCAGGAATTACCTGGCCTCTGGATCTTTGAGGCTGACTCCCCCTCCCCACATGGCCTAAGGGCAGGATGTGTCCCGTGCCCTGGACTCCTCCTACTAAGACAGAGAGAAAGAAAGCCCCGTCTCTGTGAAGATGACTCAGGATGAATATTTGATCCTTGTCCCAGTGGGACCGCCGGGTCCCTCTGAAGGAACAGCAGTGTCCTTCAGGGACTGGAGGACAGGCTGGGGACCTGGCCGCTCAGAGCAAGCTTCTGGCTCCCCAGGCTTCAATGTCAGCCCCAGCTAGGTTGGCTGTGGCCCACCAAAGGACCTCTCCTCCAGGAAGGACCTTGTGGACCCTCCAGTGTTAATGTGAGGCTGAGGAGCCAGGGGTTTCCCTCCTTACTCTCATCCTAGCCCCTCATTCCTCTGAGCTGGAAAAGGGGGAGAGTAGGGAGAAGTGATGAGAGATGAAGGAGGAGGGGCAGGAGGGGGCAAGTGTACCCACTATCAGCAGGAGTTCCAGCCAAGTTGAGGAGAGTGGGATCTCGCCTTTACCTTTCTGGGTTTTTGATTTCTTCTGTTACAAAATTAAGGGTGTCCCAACCTGAGTAAGAGAACAGGGCAGAGTAGAGGGCAAGAGAGAGGTCTCCCACATCCCAGGAGGAACCCTTAAAGGCATCCTGAAAGTGCTCAGAGTGTCCTGTGGGGGCAAAGGCAGATGGGGGTGTAGAGAGGAGTAAGAGGAAGGAGGAGGAGGAGGACAGGAGAGATGGAAGTGTAAAGAGAAAAAGGAGGGGGCGCAGGGCAGTGAGAAAGAGGAAGGGTAGATGGGGAAAAAAGGAGAAAGGAGCATCAAGAAAAGAAAGAAAAGCAAGCAGGCAGGGAAAAGAAAAAAAAAAAAAGAAAAACAAGTTAGTACCAAAAGAACCACCACCTCCAGCTCCCTGCACTTCACCATCCCACCCACTCCTTCTGAATCTTTCATTTCCCTTCAGTAGAACCCAACAATCTCAGAAAAAAAAAAAAAAAAAAAAAAGGCACTCCTGGTTGCCTTCTGAAATGATAACCCCTCTTTGAAAGCCCTAAGGAATTTCCATTTCCTGCAAGAGACCATGCGGTCAGCCACAGCTCTTCCTCCTATTTTTAGAAAGAACCCTCTTTCACATAAAGGAATCATTTTTCCATTAACAATTAGATCTTCCTGTGGAACTACTTCTCTTGGCCCAGACCACTGCATATTTTGGTTCAATGGGTTTCTCAGTCTCACGGAAAGAACTCTGTTGCTCTATTCGCAGTGGTTATTTCACAGGAAATGGTAGGCTTTGTAGGAACTGAGATCTTATTTTTCATGGGCTCTGGGGTTAGGTATGGGTACCTCCACCTTTGGAGAGCCTCCCTAGACAAGTCAGCCTCCTTGAGGCCTTTAGAGACCGCACACTTGCAAGCCAAGGGAACAGCACAAGAGACAGACCTTCTAGATACTCTAGTCTTGTCTTTCAACAAGACACAGACTTCTAACGAAGCCTGCTGTGACCTCCTCAGAAGGCCTAGACCCATCCCTCAATGTGGCCAAAAGGGCTGGGTGTGCAACAAAGAGGAAGGAAAACAGAGACTCCCAAGCCCCAGGCATGCCAGTCATCATGCACGGCAGTTATTCCCTAGGGCACAGATCTTGGGGGGAGAATTACTCAACTACCCAATTTGGCCCCAAGATGTTTCAGAGACTCTAGGAACATCCAGATGGCTGGCTATACTAACTTGCACACAGGCACAAAGGTTCTAGGTCAGCTGCCTAAGATTCACCCAGGGCACTTGTTAAAAACATACCTTTTTCTCTGTTTGATTTTTTACCTGCACCACGCAGGGTCTTAGTTTTCTGACCAGGGGTTGAACCTGGGCCCTCACGGAGTCCTAACCACTGGACTACCAGAGAATTCCCCAAAACACACTTTTTCAACTCCAAACCAACCAGAGTTGGATGGGTTGAGATGGGAGTCTCAGCTCTTCGGGTGACTGTAAACACAGCCAAGTTTAGAGAAAGACGCCCTAGAGAACTGGGCTGTCTAATGATCGAGACATCCTTGGCCAAGGACACCTCAAGGCTTCTCTAAGGGGTCAGAGGATCTTGGAAGGCCTGTAACCCCTCATTGCCAACCTGCTGTGGTCTAGGAGTGAAAAGCTCTCTAAAGTCAACATGCACAAAAGTCAGTGCCATCTTTGCAATGTTTTAATATTTTTGCTGAGAGCTGACTCTGGGAGGGAATGCTAAATAGGAGCAAGTCCAGATGAAAAGTAAAGCCTGCAAAATAACCACTCATTTCCAGACCCCATCTCCCCACCACATACACCTCTCAGCCCTCTCAAGAAGGGCTGAGCCCTCTTCCCCACTGCCTGCGGTCACACACCAAAAACAGGAACCAGGGCTCACTATCTTGATCACTTTTATGACCCAATTACAACTCAAGTTTCAAAAGCTCCTAGGCCCTTGGCTGACATCTTGCAATACTCCCCACCTCCACAAAGGGATGGAGGCCCAAGAAACCTGAGAACAGATTTCTCGTTCTCATTGACACAGTCCAGCAGGTACACAGAAAGAGCTGAGCAGTAAAGCTAATGGAGTCCCCATGTTCCATGTTTTTCTCAAGGAACCCAGGGGAACTCCCAGAGTCACCCACCCTCCTTCCTACCTGGGAGTCTCCTTACCCTGGCACAGTTTAACAAGGCCCATGACAATGATGGCAATGAGTGCCAGGACCTTGGCATACGTGAACGTGTCCTGCACACGTGTGCCCCACTTGACGTAGGCACAGTTCACAAATGTCAGCAGACCTAGGAAGAAAACCACAAAGTCAGTGGCAGGTGTGAGACGAGGGCACCGAAATCCAATCTCTCTTTACAAAGCACATCATTTGTATCCTGTCTGCCTAAGGCAAAGAGGCCAAAGGACTGGTCAGAACCAGGAGAACAGGCTAACAGGGTACATCTTCTATCTGCCCCAGCTGAGAGGAGAACATATACCACTGTGAACAAGATATAAAGGCATGTACTACCACATATTCATACATTCTGACAGCCAGAACCATTTTTGGAAATTCCTCCCAAGCCCATGAATGGTGAACTTTACCCACTCCTGAGACTCCCAAAGTTTTAAACCCCCTGGGGCATTAGAGAATGGGGACAAGAGAGGTCCAACAACAAATAAGGTCAATTTAAATGCAGGTGGCGGGTAACCCAGGAATTAGACAGGCAATGTTTTGCATATAATTATTTTTTAAAAGTCTGTCATGTGCCTGACAATTTCACATATATCCTCTTAATTAATTCTCACAACCACAACACAGACATTCCTATTCCCATTTTCTGGATGAGGAAACCTGAGGTTGAGAGAAGCCAGCTACCACTCCCAAGCTTACATGGCCCCCATTGATCTCCCCCACCCCCATTCCTATCCAAACATCCTAATTCTCAGGCCCGTGGAGACATGGACTCGCATCAGCACTGCTGGCTTTATGTTCCAGCTCCTTACGTACCTCACAGATATCTGGTCCTGTGTTAGGGCTCCCACCACCTAACCCTGCTATACAGGGACTGCTCTAATCCATGTAGAGAATGTGAGAACAATATCCAAGGGGCTCCACAGTGACACCTCTAAGTAATGCCCCTAGCCTCCAAAAATGACTTTTATGGGAACCTCAAATGTTATTACAAAATTTGGGGGCCCATCCTCCTGGCCCTATCTGCCTACTTCTACCCTCACTGTGCACTCTCCTGCAGCAGACCCTCTGTACTGATGCTGTATATACACATAAGGGAAATGTCCTCCCCTCCTCCTCCTGCCTTAACCAACAGCAAGTCCCACTTTCAAGGTCTAACTCAGTCCCCACTTCCTCTGCAAAACCTTGCCCAAATACATCAGCCAGGTCCTGCCTGAACTCTCTCTCCCTGAACCTACCATGTTCTCAATTCACAGCACAACTTAGAACTGCGTGCTATAGCCACAGGGACACCTGTTACAGCAAGGTCCCTCTCTCTTCCTCAGGCATTTGGGTGGTACTTCCAAGGAGATCACAAATTCTTAGTGGGAAACAAAAGCATACGGTTTTCTTAAGCTTATTACCAAGCAAATATAGGAACTGATGAACCGAGGTTGGAATCAAAATGGTGACGAATTTCACTCAACTGCCAATCCCCTGGAGCAAGGCAACTTTCAGAAAGTTGGACATTCCTCCACGCAAATGGAGAGGAGAGCCACTGGCCAATGTGTGGTTATAAACATGAGTGGCTGAACAGCCTCCACAGGGCACTTAAAGAGCTTGCATGCAGTACTCCGGCAAATGACACAGGTGCTTACTAGTTAGTCATAAAGACGTGTGGCAGCAGGGGTCAAATAATGGCCAAAAGGGAGGGGAGAAGACCAAAAAAATGCACCCTGCCAGGCAGGTCTTTCCAAGGACCTTCCCTGCTAATCCAAGTTCATTGTGGGGAGCTAAGCCTAGATCAACTAATAAGGATTACCTAGTTTACAGCCACCAGTAATGCAGACTCCTGTGCAATAGAGTCAGCATATTTTGAAGTAACTGCCAGCCCCCTTCTTGGGAACTGCTCCCCCTACCCTATCATGGCTGGTAGAACCCAACTGGACCCAAGCTGAGCCTATTTGATTAACTATGCCAAAAATATGGAGTTTGGATGCCAAGAGACTGAACCTAGTGAACAGCAGCTGGGTCAGAAGCAAGTAAAAATCACATACAAGCTCTTGTAATAGCGGAAGAAAAGCCACAAAAAGCAGAGGAAGGAAGCGGGACTACAAGAAGAAGTGACAGCAGCCTGTGAGGCGCTGTGCAGCTTGTGAGAAAAAAAGACTGATGAAAAGACACAGAAATATACACAAAACAGAGGTGGAGGAGAGGCAATGAGGAGGAGGCAGAGATGAAGAGAAAGAGACAGAGACAGAAAGATGGCCACACACGTGGAGAAAAAGGCTGTCTCACAACGTCCTGACTGCGCTTACTGTGCTCTGGCTTCCGCCACCAAGATGTGCCTGCAGGACGGGGAGAGAAGCTCACAGATTCCTTAGCCAGGCACTCTCTCCTCCGGCTTCTGCTCCTCCTCCTTCCCTCCATCCTGCTACAAACTGCCCCCATGGCTTGGTCCTCTGTGCACACAGGGGGAATTCAACAAGTAAAAGCATCACCTCATGGCAGCTCCTGCAGAGCCCCTACTCAAAGGCCAGCCGGAAGGATACAGAAGAGCCTGGCCACAGCAGTTGCCTCAGGGAGGAAGACTAAAGCTGAGAGGCAGATTTTTTTTTCACCGTACACCCTTTTGTACTTTGACCTATTTACCATGCACATACACTTCTCAATAAAAGTACTTCATTTAAAACAACCTGTAGCCAGGGAGCAGGGCCACGAATAGAGTAAGGTGAGTAAGGAGCCTATGACACAAAAGTGAAGGAGGCACTCACTGTCACGGGATAGCTTGGCAAACCTGCGAGTACTGGCCCCAGGAGCCTTGCTTGCTTCACCGGACTCTCAGCCATGCCAGAGAACACAAAGCTCCAAGAATAGCATACCAAGCAAAAGCCAACTACCTCAAATGTTTTCCTGATTCTAATTAAGAAACAAAATTTCACCATCTGACCCCCATCCCTCCTGCCTCCCAGAACTCCCATTCCCATCCAGCACCAAGGATCCTATCAGAGCTCAAGCACCAGACAACCAGGCTGAGCCTGGAGGCCACAATTCAACAACCACAATGAAAACACCCAAGTCCTCGCTTTTCCCTGATCTCATTTTTTTGCTGAAAACCTGCACCAATGACTGTGGGACCCATATGAGGGTCTTTTCAGGCTCTCTAGGTGCTTGTTGCTGGGAAATACTCAAAGAGCAGATCCAGACCCAGCCCCTGTGTGTGTGTGTTTGTCACTCAATCGTCCGATTCTTTGTGACCCCATGGACTATAGCTCACCAGGCTTCTCTGTCCATGGAATTCTCCAGGCAAAAATACTGGAGTGGGTTGACATTCCCTTTTCCAGGGGACCTTCCCAACCAAGGGATCTAATCCAGGTCTCCTGCATTGCAGGCGGATTCTTTACCATCTGAGCCACCAGGGAAGCCCCAGACCCAATCCCTAAGCAGAAACAATCCCCAAAGTCTTTGTGGCAAAGATGGCTATGTATCTTCTAATATCTGTCCTTCCATCTTCCCTGAGTAATAGAAATTAAAACTGGAGTCTAGTTGCCCAAAATAAAGATGACATTTCCCGGCCCCTTTTGCAGGCAGGTATGGCCAAGTAACTAAGTGCTTAACCCAGGGATATAAGCAAAGTTTCACATAAATAAGACCTTACAGGAGTATCTTTGATGGGTGAGAGGTTCCTCTTTTTCATTTATTTTTATTAGTTGAAGAGAGGTTCCTTTTTTTGTGTTTCCCATTGGCCACATGCAGACATGACTAGAACTTGAGTGTCCATCCCTGACCATCAGCCAAAAGTCACATGTTGAGAATGGCAGAGCCATAAAACAGAAAGAAGGAACCCGATTCCCTGAAGAATTATGAAGTCATTCTACCAGCCCCACACTGCCTACTTTTAACATGTGAGAGAAATAAATTTCAATATGCTTGAGCCATGCTCCTTTTGGTTTTCAGTTGTTTGAAACCCAAACTAATCCTGATTAATTCATGTGCCCTCAGACAAAACTGCACCTCTTGCTGATAAGGAGATGGCCTAGCATCTGAAGCTGTAGTTCTAGTTATGCTGATTATCACAGCTTCCTTCTCCTATAAGCACTGGAAGGAGAGGGAACCTCCCAATTCCTCCCACAAACAAGCTGGGTATGACGAAGGGGCGTTCAAGGATAGAGGAGTACAGTCCTGAACAACAATGAAAAAGTGGGAAAAGAAAACGAAGCAGAAACAAACATCTACGAGTTTCTTAGGAGAGAAATGTTCTACAAGAGTCCAGAAGTAAACCCTTCCAAATGGAGCTCCCAGAATCAGAAGCTGCCTCTGGGCATGTGTATGGATATGTGTATGGATCTGTACCTGCCTTCTAAAAATTTTTTTAATTACACAAGTATACACATTGAGTCTTATTATCAAAACATTCAAACTATATATAGAGTTAGAGTCCAGGACCTTTGAGCAACTGTTGTCAAGACCAGTCCTCCTCAGGCCTGTTACTGTCAGAATATGAAAGCTGTCTATCCGTAACAACAACTGACCAAAATAGGAGACAGCAGCCTTCCTGCTCAGAGTAGAACCTTGCCCAGAAGGAAAAAAAAAAAGAACCCTACCCAGGCATGAGTCCAAGACAACAAAAGGCAATAGGAAGCCATTCAGACATCACACAGTGTTTCCTCACCGCAGTCTCACCCTTGACTATCTCCCTTTCCTTCTTCTTTCCCCTCCTCTCCTCCTTCCTTGTCAGCCTTACCAAATAAACCCTTGGGGACAATGGAGTCTCAGCTGTGAGCAGACCTCTGCTGATGCCACAGTGTCAGTACTGAACTGACTTTCATGTCAGTTCATGGCAAATACTCTTCAATGATGTATTTGAGTTTATATAACAGGATTCCACAAAGATAAATGCACCAAGACCTAAGCCAGAAACACACACTTCGTAGGCAAATCAAGTACTCCTACAATGCTGAGCAGCTAGGTTTCCAAGAATACTGCTGGTCACCTGGCCAGAGAAAGGAACTATGAACCTCAAGAAGTGCCATTTGCCCCCACAGTCCCATAAGTGAATTAGAGCCCCAAGCATATTGAGTTCAGTGGACAGCCTGAGGTCCCACTAACCACAGAAGAGCCCAAGATCCCAGAATATATGAGGAGAATGACAGTTTCTAAATTTCAGCACAATTGACATTTTGGGCCACAGAAGTCTGTCATGCAGGGCTGTCCTGTGCATTATAGGATGGTCAGTAGCAGCATCTTTGACCTCTACCCATTAGATGCCAGCAGCATCCCTTCCCAGCAGTTGTGACAACGAAAACTGTCTCCAGACCAAATGTCTCCTGGGGAGCGAACTCACCTCCAATTGAGAACCACAGTTCTGATATAATGAGTAGTTAAGACAATCTGCAATTTAAAAAAAAAACAAAACCTGCTTGGATCTATCCCCCTACCAGTGTAACCTGGGACTGGGGTGGGGGGTTGTCAGAAGACACGATCTAAAACAGCAGTGCCTTCAGGACCCAAGAAGGTAATATAAATGAGCAAAGACAAGTATGTCTGGATATAAAATAAGAGGGAGTGGAGGACTAGGGTGAACAAGAGACTATATGGTTCATTTAGAGGAGTAAAAGTAACCACTATTCAAATGCAACTGATCGTGTCAGGATGGAATATAGGTCCAAGTTTGCCAGAACTCTTGATGTTTCAAGAAAAAGGGCAAGTCCTGATTTTTAAATGTTGGCAAGTAATTCAAAATTGTTTAGAACACTGTATAGGCCCAATACATGTGTGAACCAAGTCTGGTCTGTGAGTCATAGGCTTGCAGCTTTAACCTAGAGTTAGCTACATGGAGACTGCCTGGACCCCTTCTTCTAGGATGGAACCTTAACTGTCCACCCTGGCATGGATATAACTTCTTTAGGCAGTCTTCAATAAACAACCTGAATCCCTGTCATATCTCAGTTTCAAGACTAACTTAATTCTCCTACCCAAGCCTCACAATGGACTTAGTGAAGATCTTTGTTTTTTGCCCTAATTATGACATAATCGGTTTCTTCCCATGTATATCTCTTGAGACAAGGCTGCTCTCAGTGCCACCCCTGCCCAAGGAGGCTCCCTCCAGCACACTCCAGCTTAGCTGGATGATACCTTAGCCTGATTCTATACCCTAATTTCCAAGAAGAAAAGTAAACTGAGCCCTAAAATCTAGTCTGTTAGGATGGGTCAAGGTTTTAACAACTTGGCTGCAGCTTTGACAAGTTCCTGCTCTCAGGCCTGCTTTATGGAAAAGCCTTAGTTTCTAGAAAGCAGGTTTTCAGGAATTCAAATACTGAGTAATCTGAGTAAAGGTACATTTGAATGAAAGAAGTTACATGATATAACCACATTTTCTAACAGATGAAGACTTTCCTCCAATCAAAAAATTAGCTCCTAGTGTGGAGACAGGCTTCCTAAGCACAAAAAACAATGGGAAAAATAATAAAGAAAACAAGATTTAACAAATAAAAATCTTCTTTATATGAAAAATGATGTACAGAAGTGCCCTTTGACTTAGGGCTTCCCAGGTGGCACTGTGTAAAGAATCTGCTTGCCAATGCAGGAGATGTGGGTTCGACCCCTGGGTTGGGAAGATCCCCTGGAGAAGGAAATGGCAACCCACTCCAGTATTCTTGCCTGAAGAATCCCATGGACAGAAAAACCTGGCAGTCTACAGTCCATGGGGCTGCAAAGAGTCGGACACAACTGAGCTCTCTGACTTAGTTATTCTTGGAATTGATCCTGAAGCCATCACCAGACCAATGCACAGACACAGGTGCTCAGAAAGAGTAAGGATTCATAAAACCTTCTAAAAAGTAACTGGGTAAGACACAAAGAAACTTAAAACAGTTTAATTCTTTAGATACAGGGTTTTCTCTTACATAATTCTACCCTATTAGAATATGAAAAAACTCTACACAAAGATTTCCCATAGCAGCATTATTTTTAATAATAATATTATAAGGCACTCACTACATGCCAGGCAGGGAGAAGTACAATATGTGTACTGATTCATTTATTCCTCACAACAATCTTTTCAGATAGATACTATCAACAAACTGAAAAAAAAAAAAAAACCCACAAAAATCGCCTGCCCTATCAGCCAAACAACTGGATGCTGTGGCCATCAAGCCATTACAGCTGCCCCTCAGGGAGCCCTGAGGGGACTCAGGATGAAACAGGATGCCCACCAACCAGCAGGCAGCCACTCCCTGACAGAGTACCCTGAGGAGACTCAGGATGAGAAAGCAGAGGCATATGTCAAAGGAAGGATGTTCACGACCCCTGACTTTTCTCATAAATGTTAAAGCACTAAATTCTTTAACCTGGGATATCTGGTTTTCTTTAATCAACAGCAATCTTTTGGGACTTCTCTGGTGATCGAGTGGATAAAATTCTGAGCTTCCACTGCAGTGGGCATGGGTTCAATCCCTGGTCAGAGAACTAAGATCTGACATGCCTCGAGGCAAAAAAAAAAAAAAACAAACAGTAATCTTTTGATGTTCCAACTACTGGTCTTTGCTGCAAAAATTCCTATATATCCTGGCTCCTCCCTTACCTCTTCAGAAGCTATCTTGAGATGCTGTGCCCCAGGCTTAAGTCCTCAGTTTTGTCTGCCAAATAAAACCTAACTCTCAACATTTAGGTTGCATATTTTTTTTCAGTCAACAGTACAATCAATATTCCCATTTTACAAACGAGAAAACTAAGGCAATAGTTAACTATCTCCTCCAAGGTCAATAGCTACTCAATGGTAAAGCTGGAATCAAACCCAGTATAGCATGGGAGCCCATGATTCCCCAGTCCCCCAACCCATAATTCTCCCAACCCACTCCCCTCCCCATGGCATGCAGGATCTTAGACCCTAGTTTCCTGATCAGGGAGCAAACCATGCCCACTGCAGTGGAAGTGAGGCGTCTCACTGGACTACCGGGGAAGCCCCCCACCACCAGCACTGCCACCTTTTCTTTGCCAGGCAGAGCAGCTTGCAGGAAGGATCTCAGCTCCCCAACCAGGGACTGAACCCAGACCACAGCAGCAAAAGCCTAGAATCATAACCACTAGGCCACCACCAGGGAACTCCTAGGGAGTCTATTATTTTAACCATTACACTGCCTGGAAACTACTTCTGTGTCCCAAACCACATTTTCTAGCAACAACTGATGAAAGGGATTTAATATTAAAAATTTTAAAATGCAATATACAAATCACAAAGAGTGTGATCATAAGGATTGCTGTGTCCAACTCTTTGCCACCCCATGGACTATAGCCTGCCAGGTTCCTCTGTCCATGGGATTCTCCAGGCAAGAATACTGAAGTAGGTTGCCATTTCCTTTCTGACCCAGGGACTGAATCTATGTCTGTTGCATTGCAGGCTGCATTGCAGCCACCAGGGAAGCTCTGATCTCAAGGGTACTTTTTAAAAATGATGAGTAAACAGGAAAAAAAAAAAATACTGGGAGATATTTCACACAATATTTATAGTAACAATAGTTCTCTCAGAGGTAAAATCATGGGTGATTTTAATTTTCTTTTTGCATTTTTCTAATTGTCTGTATGGTCTATGCATTATCTTTTAATAAAAAGAAGATATATACATAAAACAAGATATATATATATTACTTTAAAAATGTTTCTTTTAACATTTCACAAAAGGGAGGGGAATTCATGATATACTAAGTTTAAAAAGTATAATATAAAGTTATATACAAAATATGATTCCAATTCTATAACAGAAAGAAATGTGACTGAACTATTAAAAGTACTCCCGTCTTGGGGTAGATTACAGGTGATTTGAGGCTACTTTAATTTTCTCCTTAACAAACATGTTTTATTTATTTATTTTTTTAACAAATGATTATTGAAAAATATGGAACACTTCACGAATTTGCGTATCATCCTTGCGAACAAACATGTTTTACAATCAGAAAATTACTGCCTTTTTTAGAGACCTCAGTCAGGCTAGAGACCCCTGGTGAAACTCTATCAGATACACAGCTGAGTAACCACCTTCTCTCCTCCCAGGGATATCTGTAGAAGACTTTCCTTTAATATCTGCCTTTAATAAATTCCTTAAAGTCAGGAAGCACAGCATATTGTACAATTCTTTACTGCTAACTCCAAGGTACTGTCAGTCTTTAAAACTGGATAAACCGCACATACTGCCAAAGTTCTGCAAGCAAAGATATGGAAAAAAACAGTATAATTAAGTGCCTCTGGCAGCACCGTGCTAAGGGACACAGGGAATTCTGGGTCACTTCTCAGCTAAAACACTAGCTTTACAGGACTAAGTTCACAATAATCTTCTCTCCCGTTCAATGATTTCACATAAAATCCCTCCTTACTACCTCATAAGAAAAAGGAAGATAAAGAGCGATCCACTGGGATCTCTCAGGTTCTGTCCTCAGAAATCCAAATACAGGGAAGAAGCCACTTTCCTTACTAGCTGCAGAAGGAGCTTGTTTACACAGTCTGCATAAAGAAATCTGAAACACCAATGGGAAAAAGCCATTTTGGTGTGGTGCCTGCTGCTTAGAGCGGCCTGCAGAGAGTACAAGTTACAGGAAGGAGTGGTTTCACCGTGAGCCGACAGGATAGAAAGTCTTGGGACCCCATAGGCTAAAGACGACCATTTCCTCACTGATGGCTTTAAACTGGCTTAAGATTAAAAGGGGGGAAGCAAAGTAACTTTTTTTTTTGGAGTAGCAGAATAAAGGCCTCAGCACTGACGGATTTTTCCTGGGTTAAGTTACAACTAGCCATCTTGACACCAATCTAAAGATCTGACAAGATAAATATAAGGCAATCACCAATCTGTCACGTAGACTAAGGAACAGAAATCAGGGACAGCCAAAAGTGGAAGGAAAGGGAGGCACCAAAAGCCACAGACAGGTTCAAACTTCTCCCAGCCCTATCATTTACCCTCACTAATCTCAGGAACAAATGACTTCGGTGAAACTGCTTCTTCAAAAAAGCTAAGATGCCTCTCTTCCCAATACATACACAAAAAAGCAAAATAGGCTGTTCAAATATAAATCACTATTAGCATTGTAAAAATAACCCCCCATACACACTCCTCCAGTAAGCCCTCAGACTTACACATGCAGGCTGCAGCGAGGAGACGGCAGGCCAGGTACGGGGGCTCACAGGTGGGAAAGGAGGGCTGGATGATGTAGTTGGCAAAGGTGATAGCGATGATGGCCTGACCGGTGGGCTCAACAATTAGCAGTGAGGCCCAGAGGCGAATAAAAGCAATGAAGCCCCCAAAGGCCTCAAGAATATAAGCGTAGCTGGCTCCAGATTTGGTGATGGTGGTCCCCAGTTCTGCATAGCAAAGGGCACCCACAACGGAGAAAAGCCCACCAACAGCCCAGATGACCAGCGACAACCCATAGGAGGCCGTGTAGACCAGCACACCCTTGGGTGAGACGAAGATTCCTGAGCCGATCATGTTGCCCACTACCAGGCTGATGCCATTCAGCAGAGAGATCTCCTTCTTCAGCTGCATAGTTTCTGTGGCCTGCTGAGGTAGCATGCAGTCACCTTCTTCCTCCCTGGGCTGGCTGGCCTCAGGAATGAGATGGTATGTGGGTGTGGGATTCTCCAGCTCCCTGGCTTCCATGGCAAGTGGTTCTTTCACACCTGTGTTTACTGCAGCCTGGAAAAGAATATAAGTATTGTCAGTCGAGGGTAACGGCTGATAATGCTCTAGTTTAGACCTGCAAAGCAGGCAGATTTCCCTTCCTATCTCTTATGTAGGGGCCATGTGACTCATATACAAACCTAAATACAATGAGCCTGTCTCAGTTCCTACCACAGGATACAGAGAAATGGAGGCAGGCTGACCTCCACTGCTCCAAGAAAGACACCAAAAGGGCTCAGGCGCCATATGATGGTGACTTCCAAAAGGATGCCCAGGGTAGGCTAACATTAGGTCTATCCATAGCATAAATTCTCCCTGAGATGTAGGTTTTGCTCTGTTTTTTGGCTTTTTTTTTTTTTTTTGGTGGTACTGCCCAGCTTGTGGAATCTTGGTTCTCCGACCAGGGATTGAAGCTGGGCCCTCAGCACTGAGAGCCTGGAGTCCAAACCACTGGACTGTCAGGCAATTCTCTATTTTGCTCTGTTCTTGCCAACTTAAAACCTGCAAACTTGCCCTGCAGAGAAGACCAAAGTCCCAGCACTAGCTAGCCTGACAGGCCTCTCACTTTCCACGCCGTCTTACCTCTGCCCAAACATAAACAGGCACTTCTGCAGTCTCTAGCCACATGTGGAGAGGTCTATAGCTACTCTCAGGCCAGCAAAGAACATGAATATGTGATGGGAAGGGCTAGGAAGATGCTAAAGATAAGGGCATAACACTATTGCAGAGACTGGACCAAGGAGAGAAACTCCATGAAAACATACACCCATGTGTCGCTATGTCCACAACACTCACCTTACTTTCCACACTGCTGCTTGATCGTTCAACACCTTTCTTTTTCAAAAGTGCCCTAAAGAGAGGGATAACATAATAAGACCAGATGGAGAAAGAGCATCCAGGGGGCACCCTAACATGAGACTCATCTGCTATTGGCTTATTTGCTTTCCTCCTCAGAACACCCCTCACTACCACCTAGGGGTGCAAAGAGATTCCCCCATAACAGGACCCAGAACCTTGACAGCCAAACAAACACCGTAAGTCTCCTCTTATCCACAGATCTGGCATTGGAAGGCAACCTGTAGGGAGATGGTGTGCACACGGGTACACACACACACATACACTGCTACTCTTAGATAACAATGGGGCCAGTCCAGAAACCTCAAGGAAATTGGATCCCATACCAACCTACTGATGAAAAACCCAGAATCTGTCAGAGGAAGGCAAGCACCTTCCTGACCTTGCACTCAGCAGGGCCTTCTCTCTCCCTCAATTCCTGTGCCCTAGGAACTGGAAATTCAGATCCCAACCCCTAGTTCATCTTTCTCATCTTCAGGAGGAAAGAATCTGATAAGCCACTTGATTCCACCCAGGAGGAGTCAGTCCTTTAAGGTCACAGAGATAACTTCCAGGAATAAGAATGGGAACAGTACATCATCTTCCCAGAAGCTTCTTATCTAGTCACAAAAATGGGTATGCTGGAGTCCTGCCTCATGGAGCTCAGAGCAAGTGAACCACAGCCACTCAAGAGTGAGTAGAAAACTCCAATCTCCACAGGACCCGCTCAAAACTCCTGCCTTACCTGCCCCAGCCCCGCTCCACAGTCTAGACCTCAGCCCAAGTGAAAAAGCTTTTCTGGAGCCATTAATAACCCTTCCCCCACTCCCAGAAAAGTTGAGCCAGCCTACTTCTGCTTCTTATGAGGCCTGGCTTTAAGGCAGCACCACTTTGCCTTTCATTCCTGGCACCAAGCCATGAAGGTGACTCTCTGCAGGCACGTGGGAAAATATTTGTTTTCACATATCTGTCAGGTGAGCCCAGATATGCATGAAAACAAAACTAGGAAACACCAGAGGAGCCTACCATCTCACATGAGAGTCAGGTGAAGGGTCTTCATTCATTAGTGAGTGCTTCCATGTGTATGCTCTATGCATATTAATAAACTTGATTGTTTTTCTCGTCAGTCTGTCTTTTGCCAGTCTAATTTACAACACCCCACCCAAGGAACCTAAACTGGGGAAAGGGAAAAGGTCTTTTTCTCCCCTCCTTTACATTCCCTTAAAAAAAAACAAAGTGTAAAGATACTTAGGTGGCACTTTTTCACGAACCCCAACATGGAGGCAAGCAGAGAAACCTGGCCTTCCCCTATTTATCACCCTAGCTGGCAGGGAGAGGGGCTGGGGCTACCAGGTATTCTACTTGGACTTCTGATACCAGATGTCTATGTTTTATACCAAACAGTTCTGTAATACCAAGCAGATCTGGTGTCTGCTACAGTTTAATCAACTCTTACACCATCTACCTGGAGGCAGCAACAGATTCCCCAGTTTAAGTGCTCAATCCTACTAAACAGCCCTTTCCCACTCAACTTAAGAGGCCAAATTGCAAGTCCGGTTGTTCCTTTGCTTCTGACCAATTAGCTATGAATCGGAGGTTCTTACTACTCCCTCCTCAGGTTCAATTAATTTGCTAGAGCAACCCACAGAACCCAGGGAAACAGTTTACTTACTAGGTTACCAGTTTATTGTAAAGGCTGTAACTCAGAACAGCCAGATGGAAGAGATGCAGACGGCAAGGTATGGAGAAAGAGGCATGGAAAGATCTCCAAAACTTGCCCTTTTGGTTTCCCTTTGGATGCTTCATTACAAAGGCAACACTAATCAAATCACTGACCATTAGTGATTGATTCAACCTCCAGACCCCCTCCCTTCCCAAGAGGTCAGACCTCAACTAAAACTTCCAACCCTCTAATCACAGGGTTGGTTCTTGGGGCAAGCAACCCCCATCCTTAGAGGATCTAGATGCTTCCAAAAATCACTTCATTGACATAGACTCATGAGTGTTGGAAGAGGCTTGTTATATAAATAACAAAAGACATCCACTTAACCTTTATTGATCTGGAGCTATTTGAGGAACTGGGAAAAAACTAATATTTTAACAAAAGATGCCTCTATGGCTCTTGTAAGGAAATTTCAGGAGCTGTGTGACAGGAACAGTGGACAAAGACCAAATAAATATTTTATCACGGGGTAGGGGGAGAAAGAGGTAAGCTCATTCACTGGAAAATTTTAAAACAATATGAAATGTAATTGCCTTGACTTTTAACTTTCACTTAAGATATAGCAAGCTGAGAAAAGCATCACTTCCACTCCATTGTCAAGAAAAACCAGATTAAAAAAAAAAAAGAAAAACCAGATAATCTACAGAACTATAACTTTTCTTGAAGTTATTAGCGAGATGAGGTCACAGGCCAACCAACGAGACTGAAATTTAAGAAAAAACGAGTACCCCCAGAGAGATGTAAGCTTTGTCTTACCTGTAGCAGAAAGAGAACGATGGAACCACCATACAGGCAAGAAAGAAGAATTCAGGTACAATTTTTAATAAATTGCTAAAGGTCAAGTTTAGTAATTTATTACTAATAAAAATCAAGTAAGAGCCATAGACACTCCAAGGGTTTTCTCCAGTGAGACCTCAGTGGGTACTCATGGGAAATACAGGTGGGCTGACCTGGAGGAGGAAAGCAGTCACTGCTCTGGGAAAAATACAAAGGTCCACCTGCTCCCTTCTCTAAAGAATACAATCTTAAATCCCTGGGAAATGGGCAAAACTATCACTCCCAAGGCAGCTGAGACAGAGTGAAAGAAAAATAAAACTACCCTCTTTGGCTGGGGGAGAGGCAGGAAATTCTGGTTCAGACCATAGGAGGTGGCAGGCTCACCCAGAAAGATCCACTCCCCAGACCCAGGGCAACAGAGCCTGCCTAAGGCTGAGGCTGACCCAAGACAACAGAGAACCCCTCTACTCCCCACCACCAGGTGAGCAAGCATCCAGCAACAAGGCTGTGGGAGACTGCACTGAGGCACAGCTGCACAAAGAAGACCTAAAGCTGAGGGTGGAGCATAAACACAGAAAAATCCACCCTCAGGGCCAGGGGGCACTTCCCAGGTGGCTCACTGGTAAAGAATTCACCTGCTAATGCAGGAAGCACAAGAGACACGGGTTTGATCCCTGGGTCAGGAAGATCCCCTAGAGTAGGAAATGGCAACCTGCTCCAGTATTCTTGCCTGGAAAATTCCATGGACAGAGGAGCCTAGTGGCTTACAATCCATGGGGTCCCAAAGAGTCAGAGGTGAGTAAGCACAAACACACACAGGGCAAGGAAACAGCAGAGGAATCTGAAGGGGCTAGTGCACCTAAGGTAACCACAGCAACAACAAAACCCAAACCCAACTCGTTACTGACTCAAACTCCCACATTAACAGGCTAGCAAAAGAAGACCTGTATCCTCTGTCCAGAATAAAGTATATATCTCAGTATCTACTTTCCCACATATTTTATCTGGCAATCAGTAACAAATCACAAGCCACCTAAAAAAAGCAAGAAAAACAACCCACTATTATCAAAAGGCAAATTAATCAACAGGACAAGACTTAGAGATGATCCAGATACTGGAACTATGAGACAGGGAATTGAAAATAACTATGATTAATACATGAAAAGCTTTAATGGAAACGTTAGCCAACATGCAGGAACAGAGGTGGAATTTCAGCAGAGAAATGAAAACCTTAAGGATCAGAAGTGGGGGGGTGGAGGGAAGAGCATCTAAGAGTTGTAGGACAGGGAATTCCCTGGCAGTCCAGCGATTAGGGTTCTGCACTTCCACTGCAAGGGACCCAGGTTTGATCCCACATGCCTCCAGGCACAACCAAAAAAAAACAAAAACAAACAAAAAAAAAAACCAGAAAGAGAGAGAATTCTACAATATCAAATGGTCTGAAATAAATATTAAAAATATAATTTTTGCTTATTTTAATTGCATTACAATATATCTAACTACCTAAGGCAAAAACAGTACCAATACAGTGTTAATGCATATATAAAAGTAAAATGTATGACAACAGCACAAAGATAGAAAAAAAGAACTGGGCGTTAAACTATTGTAAGGTTCTTATATGTGAAAATGATGTAGTATTATATAAGATATATGTTGAGATATTGCATATAAACTACAAAGTGTACAAATTCTAACTGCACAACTTAATGTTTATACATATGTAGTATAGAAAAATATTATTTAAGATAGACTGTAATTAATTAAAGATGTACATTGAGAAACTAGGGAATCCACTAAAAAATTAAGTGTAAATAGTAAGCCAACAGTACAGCTAAAACAGATCAAATAGTCCAAAAGTAGGTAGAAAACAGAAGCAAAGAACATATTAAACAAATAGAAAACAGAAAACAACTAGCAAAGTGGCACATTTTAATCCAACCACATCAATAACAACACAAAATGTAAATGATCTAAACACACCAATTGTAAGACAGACATTGCTGGATTAGATAAAAATGCAAAATCCAATATGCAATTTATAGGAAGCCCACTAGAAATATAAAGACATAAATAAATTACAGATAAAAAGATGGTGAAAAAACATATAAACAGTAATCAAACGGGGAGTTAACTATTGTAACATCAGACAAAAGACTTCAGAGTAAGAATATAAAAAGGGACATTATATAACGATAAAGAGGTCAATTCACCAAGAAGAAAATTCTAAAAGTGTATCTCCTCCAACAGGACAGCTTCAAAATACATGAAGCAAAAACTGATAGATCTGAAAGGAAAAACAGATAAATCCATAATTATAGTTGGAAATGTCAAGACACTTCTCTGTCGTCAATAGAACACATTAACATAAAATCAGCCAGGATCTAGAACACCTGAAAATGGAAGGCCCCAACATAGTTCTTGACTAAAATTATGTGAATTCTGAGGGGGGAAAAAAAAAAAGGCCACCAACAATAGGTCTTACCTCCATAAAGGACACGGATGTAGCTCAGGAGTAGGAGACACTTACAACAGGAAAAAACTGCTTTGGCTCCTCTTTGTTTCACTACAGAATAACCTTATTATCTACTGAGTGTTGGTACAGAGTATGGTTAGAAACCCTTCCTCAGTTGCTGCCTGAGAGGTTTAGGATCAATTCCAACCTTCTTAGCAGGGGCTTATCACTAGACCCGCTGCTGCAGACAGTCCCTCCCATTGTCCAGTCACACGGAATCAACTGCAGTTTCCAGAAACCAAAGGAGCTCATCAGACAAACGCCTTGGCTCATGTACCTTTTGTCTCTACCATACACCTCTGTCTCTGACACCGTTCTCCCACATTCTTCCTCAGCATTCTGGCTGACATCTTTCTCCACACATTTCCTTGTGTCCCTGAGTGTGTATGTCTCAGTCTCCCTTTCTCTAAAAGTCTCTAAAATCATTGTTAAAGACAAACTCCATTAAACAATTCCACGTACCCGTTCTTGTCTTGAGAAACTAGTGTTAAACTCCACTTGTAAGAACACAGACACAGTTTTCTGATAGCTTTTATCCTATTTTCCAAGTTCAAATAATGAGTTCAAATTTCCAAGGCAAATAATAAAGGAATTCACCAGACCACTAAAATATCATGAAAATTTAACCATGAAAATAACATATGCAATTTTCTGGGGGAAAAAAAGTGGCTCTTTCACAGTTCAATTATGAAGAATATTTTATAAGCTAGATTTGAAAACTTTTATAACTGATAACTATGCCAAAAAATATGCTGTCGAAAAAGATAAAATCTTAAATGCGGTGACAACACAGAGGACCTTTTTTTAATTCGAGTTTTATAAAACTTCACGATGAAAATGCACTTTTTTTAATACTTAAATTATATGTGTATATATTTATTATTTATGTATATTTACTTATTGTACTTCTACCAAATAATGAAAATTATGTGACTGTTTACATTTGCGTTCTCATCTATGATACCAGGAAACTCAAGATCAAACTCAGTTCCCAATCACAATGAACAGATATCTTCACTTTTCAACAATACTTGATGTCTAGTCTTTTCCATGGCTTTGGTTTCCTATTTTTACTTGCTCATTGCCAGCATCATTAATTATAAACCACTACAATTACTCTTTAGAAAGAGATATAATAAATATATAATTTATCTAATAAATTTCAGTGTTACATAATTGTTAATTACATGTGAGCCATTCTCTTCATTACTATTGTACCCAAATTGTACTCAAGTAACTAAAACTCTTTACAACTCACAAAGATCCAAGAAAGTTAATGAAGAGCAGAGCAATTTTATTCACCTGTGAGGAAATAAGCAACCTCACACTTTCACAAGCCACTTCATCATAAATGGTCAGGTACAAAGAAGAAAATGAAGTCTCCCCAGTCAGACCTATTCCAAGTGTCTGTCTTGTTGAATTAATCTCTGCAACAAAAAGTGAGAGGCAACTTATCAAAAATGAACCTAGTAAGCAGCAAGACGCTATTTCCTTTTGTAAAATCTAATTTTGACATGCCCAGCAGGGGTAGCTCTCAATTACTGAGAAGTCCCATTACACCCACAGTGGGGTGTAACTGAACAACTGTTTTGAGAACTAGCCTGGTCACTTCAAATCATGCATGTCTAGACATGCATGCTCCCTCTGTCCCAGGTCCCATGAGCACCACTTCAGTCACTTTTATAGAAAAGTATCCACACATCCTGGAGACTACAACAGGAAGCAGAGGACACAGGTCAGGAAATTTCCTGTACCAAGAAATGCCAGGGAGATCAGCCATATAACTGGTATTTACTTTTAGGCGGTAATAAAAATACCTTCACAGACAGGGATAGCAGAACATCAGGCTTGTGGTTTCCCACATATTTGTCACGAAATAAAAATCAAATATAAAGAACTTTAAATGATAATCTGAGACCAAAGTTGGCAAGCAAAAGCCACCAGCACACAGCAGGACCTCAGCAATGCAAGCAGCCTGGGTCGTTTACTCATGGGCCTCCCAGCAAGAAAAGAAAAGACAGTTGAAAATGATTTCAGGAAATACTCACAGGCTTTCAAAAGTCTGTTCCTCCCAGATCTTCAAAATCAGGCCATCAGCCCTGGGTGATAAGCACCAGTTGGCTGAACTTTCTGCCACTGGGCGCTAGATTTGTTGGCAGTACTTTTTTTTTTTTTTTGCCCCCATCAAGGGTAGAAATTGAATTCTTTTTACCAAGCACAGTCCAGTGCACAAAGAGGTATTCAAAAACAAATGTTAAATTAAATATTGATTCCTGCTTATCACTGCCTATAACACAAGTGGTGCCCAGATAGTTTGCTCAGTGAAGAATCTCTGAATGCTTCACAAATATCGCCTTCCATTTAACATGAGATGATCGAACAAGATGACGGGATGTGAAGACACTTAAGACTCAGTCCTCCCTCCAACAGGCGCCTATCCGCGCCCCCCGCCCCCCCCACGACCCGACCCCCGCGGCCCCAAAGAGCTCGGCTCAGGCGCTCACAAGCTCAGTCTTGCCCCGTGAGCCTTGCTCAATTTGAGTCTCTCCCACGCAGCACAGGTTTTTTCTCAGCATGAGGCTGACATGCGCTCTCTCTCGTGTTCCCAGGGCCACACTCGGGGCCACTCTGACCGCGGTCTCTCACACTCACGGCCTCACCATCTCCTTTCTCAGTCTCTCGCACACTCATGGGAGTCATGCTCACGCCCACGGTCTCTCTCACACACGGCGTCACCTTCACACTCTGCGTCTCGCACACGCAGGGTCACCCTCAGACCAACTCTCTTTTTCTCTCTCTCTCTACACACACACACACGCGCGCGCGCGCGGCGTCTTCCTCACACGCTCAGTCTTACACTTCTGCAGTTCCCCTCACGCTCACGCACGGCTTTCCCCTCAGAAGGGAGCGCGCTCACGCGCACCGTCTCTCACGTGCCCGCGGCCTGCCTGGCCCACGCGGGGTTCCCGGGACTGCATCCGGCACGCGGCGCCGGCGCGGCCGGGGCCCGGCTCTCCGGGCCCCGCTCCCCTGGCCCGGCCCCCCACCCCCCGGCCGCGCTCTTCCAGGCCCGCTCCCCCGGCGCGCCTGCCCGCGGCCCGTTACCTCGCGGTGGCCCGGCGCCTACAGGATGCTCGGTCGTGCTGCCGCCGCCCCCACCGCGACCGCTCAGGCCCCGCCCCCGCCACGTCACCCGCAGCCGGATCGCGACAGCGCGCGCCGCGTCGGGACAGAGCTCCCGGCTCCGCGCGGGGCTCACGGGCGGTGGCGCTTCCGGCCAGCAGGAGGCCGCGGCTGCTTCAGGGATTCAGCGGGCCGCGCTCGGGCGCTCGTCCGTGCGGTCCCGGCTCCCTTGACCCGGGCCCAGCCACGCTCGCCGACTGGATGGCCGCTCGTCGACTCTGGAGACTCCCTGGGCCTCTGAGAGGACTGTTCCGCGGGGGAACTCTAAGTGACCCCACACGCGTTTCCTCTGTGGTTCTTGGCCCGGGCCACACTCCCTGGGGTGGGGGTGGGGGGCGGGACCCCATACAGCTCACACGAGGAACTCTGAAGAACCTCCATACTTTGTTCGCTGCCAACACTGCTACTAGAGACCCTGGGGAGACAGACCCAGGACGCGACCTCCGACTACTGAGCATCTTTTATAGTCCCCACAGACACATGGATATCCCGGGCTTCCAAAGTAAAGCCCAGGCCTCCCTGGGGCCCAGGTGTGAGGATTGTTTTCAGTCTTCATCCTGCTTGATTCCTCTTGGAACTGCATCCTCCTTTCTTCTTCCTCTCTCTGGTTCCTCCTCCTCTGTCTTCTTCTAGGGATCCTTTTTCTCTAGTAGCTCCGGGGCTGTGTTTAGGGCCTCCTGTTCTCATGGAAAGCTGAGGTTAACCCCTAGCTTCCACACCTCAAGCCATGATTCTCTTCTAGGCCATGGAGGCATTTCCCCCAGGCACGTGTTCACAACTGCACATCCTCTCCTTTCAGATTGACTACACAAATAACCTCCCCACCAGGCAGTGACCCTGCAGAAGATGACCCCCCGTGGCTCCTAGGTCCTGCATCTCATGGTTTTCTTCGCCCCAGCCAGAATAGCCTCCCAATTCCTATCTTTCTGCCTCTAATCCATTCCCCACAGAATAAGATGTGCTCCTAAAATAGATATTGGAATGATTTCATATCTAAACGCCTAAAAGCCCTTCCATCTCCTCCCTATAGACCTGAAATAATGATCCTTGAAAAGCTTTCACTGGTGCTGCCCTCCTTGCGCTCTCTGCTTGGAATATTTTCCCTAAGTGTAAATCAAAGTACAGGCATAACGTGTCTTATTGCTCTTGGCTTTATTCTGATATGCAGATATTGCATCTTTTACAACTAGAAGGTTTGTGGCAACCCGATTTTGTCAGTTGATGGTTAGCAGTCTTTGGCAAAGTATTTTTAATGTAAGGTATGTACAGTTTTTTAGACATAATGCTACTGCACACTTAATAGGCTATAGTGTAAACAGCTTTTAGATGTATCAGAAAAAAAATTCATATGACTCATTTTACTGCGATACTCACTTTATTGCAGTTGTCTGGAAATGAACTCGCAGTATGTCTGAGGTATGTCTGCTTGTATATATTTGGAATCATTAAGAGTCTGACCCTTTGCCCCCTGGATCAGTCCCTCCTGCCTCTCTGGCTTGGAGAGGAAGAGCTCTGGATACTTGTGTCACTCAACGGCAGCCAGTCCACTTGTCCTTGTATCAGCAACATACATGGCCTGCAAACTCCCAGAACCTCTGGCTTCACTGTCTCACACCCTGCCAGCATCCTGCCACCTGAAAGCTTTATGAATCAAGTGCTGAATCAGACCATCTAACACCATCAGTGTTCCTCAGGACCACCGTGGAAGGTACATTTATTCATCCCCATTCTTCAAATGAACAAACTGAGGCTCAGGGAGTCAGACTACTTAGCTGGAGCTGGTAAAACTCAAGATTTGAACCCCTGTCTGCCAGCCCTGAAGCACGCTCTTACTCCATATCCTTTCTCTGCAGCTGTGAAACCGAGGGTAGAAGTGGGGTTGAAATAGGTCAGAGGTGAAGGTGGCTATAAGGCAATGAATATCAGATAAGATGTCAGGGCATAGCTAACAGGCTGGGCAGCACCTGGGGGTAAGGGCTTACTCCCTTTCATATTGTCATCATTTCTCTAAGCCCAGAGATGCAGCTGGATTTCCAGACATCCAGCGGTATTTCTATTTCTAGATATACATCCAATGTACTTCTAGACATCCTAACCCTCAGCGCAACACATTTTTCCAGGTTGGCCAGTAACTGGTGTAGTGAGAGCGTTCAGATCGCCCTCTACTGGCCCAGGGGGTATTGACGCCTAAAACCTAGGCTAGCCAGGCTCCTATTGGAGGCAGGAATTGGGGCTCCCACCACCCACACTGGCCCTCAGCTCTGCACAACAGAATTCAGGCCTGAATCCCATCCCTATGCATGTTTTCCTGTCTCAGATGCTCTGTTTCTCTGTCCTTATCCATCTTCGTCTGCTCCCCAGTCTCTCAGTCCCTGTCTCTGCCCATCTTGGTCTCTCCCCCTTCCTCAGTCTTACCCTGTCCCCAAAGATGGACAGATGGTGGGCAGATGAGCTTATGAAGGGTGGCACCCTTAAGTAGAAGGGTGGCATCCTAAAAAAATTCAAAGAATGCTAAGACCTGTAAGTTGAGGGAGGGTAGAGGCTGGGAAGGGGAGTCCAGCCAGGGTGACCGGCAGAATTGCCCTTGGCTGCCAGCTCTCAGGTGACATTTGGGGTCTGTTGACCAGATAGGCGAAGGGAGAGGACAAGAGCTTCACTCCAACAGGAATGTTTCAGGTCCTGGTTCTCAGTCCCAGGACGGGAATTAGATTCCCGGAGAGAGGGCAGGAGAATAAAGCCCAAAGAAGAGCCCAGGAGCCATGCTTTGGTGCTGAGAGACCCCATCAAGGCCCCACGGAAGGTCAGGGTCTAACCCCCTGATTACCTGCCTCTCTAACCCCCTCACCTTCCACTACCTCCCTCCTCTCATGCTCAGAGCAGAGGCTAGGCCAGGGCATTTTACAGCATCCAGAATACTTTTATTGCCAGAATTGAGGTACAGCCTGCTCAGAGTCCCATACGGGGCCCCCCACTCAGAAACAAAGAGGAAAACTGATGCTGGGTATGAATGCGACAGAGAAAATCCCACTTCTCAGAAACCTTGGAGGAGCGAAGCACAGTTCAGCCTGACTGTGGCTTTAGGGCCCCACCCTAGAGGCCAGACCCAAGTCTTGGGTGTCGCCCACTTGGAGACCACCAAGGCAGATCCTGATCCTCCTTCCCTCCTGTCACAGGGAGAGTCATGCAGCACCTCTGGAGCAGGAAGAAAACCCCCAGGGGACCCTCAAAGGCACCTGGCTCTCTCAGGGGCACACTTGAGTTTCTGGGCTTGTCCCTGCTCACTAAACACCACTGAGCTACCTGCTGGAGATAGGTGCTGGGCAGAGTGGGCAAGAATCCCACCTCCTCTCAGTCCTGTGCCAGCCTACCTGGGTGCTACAGAGACCCTAGGGCAAGGCAGCTAGCTATGTAGCAGGTTAGCAAAAGGGCAGCTCTGCGCGGCTCTAACTGGCCTTGGCTGCTTTCTTGAGTTCTGTTTCTTCATGAGAACCTAAAGGGCGAAGCACCAGGCCCGCTCTCATCCTTGACCTACAGCCCCAGGGTGAAGGGAGATAGCATCAATACTGTGTGCACAGCCCAACCATGGAGATCAGGGCTCCTGGGACCCAGTCCCTAGCCCTGAGCTAGGCTGTTCGTAGAGGTAAGAGAGGTAGGAGTGAATGCCCCAGGCCCTGGGAACACTCAAGGAACCCTGGGAACACATGGAGAAGACAACAACCCACCCCTGCCTGCAGGGGGAACTAGGCTGCTCCCAGAAAGCCACAGTTGGACTCAGTGAGCAGTTAGGCCACAGGGAATCCAGCAGCTCCAGCCACTCATGACCAGTAGCAGGCCGACGTGTGGCCAGTGTGTGAGAAGGTGCACCCTAGAGACTGGGAGCCCATCCTAGGGACCACAGGCCAGTAAGATCCCTCATCAGAAGGCCAAGGAGCCAGGGCCTGGTGGGTGAGTGTGAAAAGGCCACGGGGGTAGGAAGAACACATGGTCCCGGCACTGGCGAGTGGGGCCAGGTGCCAGTCAATCCCCCTATGGAGCTATCCTGAGGTCACAATTCCACCAGCAGTAGCACTCTTGCCATCAAGGGTCCCTCAAGTAAGTCCAGACTATGTCTTCCTCGATTCCAGAGAGGAAGGATAAAAAAACACCATTTCCCCATTTCACAACTCAAGATCTAGGAGTTTAGATGATCAGTCACAAACCACTAAACTTGTGGGCCATGGTACAAG